GTGCGGAGCGCTCACCCCGGATCTGTGCGCCGGGATAAAGAAAGTTATTTTCATCAGCACACAGAACAGCTGGAGAATGCGGCGGGCGCTCATCATTGATATTCACAGCCCACTCCCGGCCAGAAGCAGAGAAGACCGGACAGAGGACGGCCGGCAGGAGGACAAGACCCAGACCGAGAGCAATGTATGAGTTAAAGGACCACTCCACCCAAAACTGACATTTCAGCTTCTATTCGATGCTGTAGAATTAAAGGGGAACTCCAGGCAAATAAAGGACTTGATTCAAATGTGTTTGCTTAAGGGCTGTGTGACCTCTGACCTGTGAATGTCAGAATCTTGGGACTTGTAGTTTCACAACAGCTCAAGTGTCGAGGTTGCCTACTCCTGGATTAAAGAGTTGCATGCATCATATTGTACACAGATCTGGGGGTGTGGAGGTACATTGTACACAGATCTGGGGGCGTGGGGGTACATTGTACACAGATCTGGGGGCGTGGGGGTACATTGTACACAGATCTGGGGGGGGCGGGTGGGGGTACATTGTACACAGATCTGGGGGCGTGGGGGTACATTGTACACAGATCTGGGGGCGTGGGGGTACATTGTACACAGATCTGGGGGGCGTGGGAGTACATTGTACACAGATCTGGGGGCGTGGGAGTACATTGTACACAAATCTGGGGGCGTGGGGGGTACACAGATCTGGGGGGCGTGGGGGGTACACAGATCTGGGGGCGTGGGGGTACCACATTCGTACACAGATCTAGGGGGCGTGGGGGTACACAGATCTGGGGGCGTGGGGGTACATTGTACACAAATCTGGGGGCGTGGGAGTACATTGTACACAAATCTGGGGGCGTGGGGAGTACATTGTACACAAATCTGGGGGTGGGGAGGGTACATTGTACACAAATCTGGGGGGTGGGAGGGTACATTGTACCCAGATCTGGGGGTGGGAGGGTACATTGTACCCAGATCTGAGGGTGGGAGGGTACATTGTACCCAGATCTGAGGGTGGGAGGGTACATTGTACCCAGATCTGAGGGGGGTGGGAGGGTACATTGTACCCAGATCTGGGTGGGGGTGGGAGGGTACATTGTACCCAGATCTGAGGGTGGGAGGGTACATTGTACCCAGATCTGAGGGTGGGAGGGTACATTGTACCCAGATCTGAGGGGGGGAGGGTACATTGTACCCAGATCTGAGGGTGGGTGGGTATCCCATTGTACCCAGATCTGGGGGTGGGAGGGTACATTGTACCCAGATCTGAGGGTGGGAGGGTACATTGTACCCAGATCTGAGGGTGGGGAGGGTACATTGTACCCAGATCTGAGGGGGTGGGAGGGTACATTGTACCCAGATCTGAGGGTGGGAGGGTACATTGGTGTACCCAGATCTGGGGGTGGGAGGGTACATTGTACCCAGATCTGAGGGTGGGAGGGTACATTGTACCCAGATCTGAGGGTGGGAGGGTACATTGTACCCAGATCTGAGGGTGGGAGGGTACATTGTACCCAGATCTGAGGGTGGGAGGGTACATTGTACTCAGATCTGAGGGTGGGGTGGGTACATTGTACCCAGATCTGAGGGTGGGTGGGTACATTGTACCCAGATTGAGGGTGGGTGGGTACATTGTACCCAGATCTCAGAGGGTGGGTGGGTCCACTGTACCCAGATCTGATGAGGACAATGGGCAGGCGGGGAGGACACAGATCTGTGAACGGGTGTCCATGTGATGGAGGTATTTATAGCGCTCCGGTTATCGGTTGTCCTGTGTTTAGAGCCTCGTCCTCACACCGGACACACACAGGGGGGAGATTTACTGAAACTGGAGGATTCAGAATCTGGAGCAGCTGTGCATGGGAGCCAATCAGCTTCTAGCTTCAGCTTGTTCAATTAAGCTTTGGCAATAAAACCGTGGAAGCCGATTGGCTCCCATGCAGAGCTGCACCAGATTCTGATTGCTCCAATTTCAGTAAATCTCCCCCATCGTGTCTCTGCTTCCACAATACTGGGGCCCCATAACAGGGACATGGCGGGTGATCCCTCCTACACACCCCTGACGTCTGTATACGGCCGGCACACACCGTATGGATGGGTCACCTCCACCCAAACACCCCACAAATGATGGATCCACCATGAAGGAGATCCCTCCACCTCCTTGTATCGGAATGTGATTGTCAGAACTCTCCGACACAAAGGCCAGAGACGGGAAGTCAGACTGTTGTGGGTGGGAGTGCTCCTTAATGGGACACCAATCAGAATAAAAACCATGGGGGGGCGCCATTACCCGATCCCTGGCAGCATCTGCCTCCAACACTCCCCCCCCCCCCGGCCACTGACGTTATACAGGAAGCAACATTTGGAATCATTTCCACATTCGGCATTGAAATGGCGGCCCACACATGACAGAAGCATTGAAAAATCTACCCCCACCAATAGAGAACCTCCATGATTTCTCTTCTTGTAGAGCACACCCATCCTGGAACCCCAACTTGGGGGAGCACTGCCATATGCAATGTGACCCCTCCTATTATTGGTCAGTAACTTTAGTGGTCATAGTGATGAACCAACAGTTACATAGTTAGTCTGGCTGGAAAAAAAAAAAAAAGACAAAGTTCATCCAGTTCAACCAAAAAAGTTATACTCCTACCCCCACCATTGATCTTACTGTGAAGAAACCTTTCCGTGTTTGGAGATTAAATTTCTTTTCCTCCAGACGTAAAGAGCGCCCCCCTTGTCCTCTGTGATGACCTCAGGGGGATAACTACACCGAGTTCACTATATGAACCACTGATGTATTTATACATGGAGATCATATCCCCCCTTATGTATTATACATGGAGATCATATCCCCCCTTATGTATTATACATGGAGATCATATCCCCCTTATGTATTATACATGGAGATTATATCCCCCCTTATGTATTATACATGGAGATCATATCCCCCCTTATGTATTATACATGGAGATCATATCCCCCCTTATGTATTATACATGGAGATCATATCCCCCTTATGTATTATACATGGAGATCATATCCCCCCCTTATGTATTATACATGGAGATCATATCCCCCCTTATGTATTATACATGGAGATCATATCCCCCCTTATGTATTATACATGGAGATCATATCCCCCCTTATGTATTATACATGGAGATCATATATCCCCCCCTTATGTATTATACATGGAGATCATATCCCCCTTATGTATTATACATGGAGATCATACCCCCCCTTATGTATTATACATGGAGATCATATCCCCCCTTATGTATTATACATGGAGATCATATCCCCCCTTATGTATTATACATGGAGATCATATCCCCCCCTTATGTATTATACATGGAGATCATATCCCTCCTTATGTATTATACATGGAGATCATATCCCTCCTTATGTATTATACATGGAGATCATATCCCCCCCTTATGTATTATACATGGAGATCATATCCTCCCTTATGTATTATACATGGAGATCATATCCCTCCTTATGTATTATACATGGAGATCATATCCCCCCTTATGTATTATACATGGTGATCATATCCCCTCTTTATGTATTATACATGGAGATCATATCCCCCCTTATGTATTATACATGGTGATCATATCCCCTCTTTATGTATTATACATGGAGATCATATCCCCCCTTATGTATTATACATGGAGATCATATCCCCCCTTATGTATTATACATGGAGATCATATCCCCCCTTATGTATTATACATGGAGATCATATCCCCCTTATATATTATACATGGAGATCATATCCCCCCCTTATGTATTATACATGGTGATCATATCCCCCCTTATGTATTATACATGGAGATCATATCCCCCCTTATGTATTATACATGGAGATCATATCCCCCTTATGTATTATACATGGAGGTCATATCTCCCCCTTATGTATTATACATGGAGATCATATCCCCCTTATGTATTATACATGGAGATCATATCCCCCCTTATGTATTATACATGGAGATCATATCCCCCCTTATGTATTATACATGGAGATCATATCCCCCCTTAATCTCCTCTTCTCAGTAGAGAATACATTCAGTTCCTCTAATCTCTCCTCATAGTTGATCTCCTCCATGCCTCTTATCAGTTTGGTTGCCCTTCTCTGTACTTTCTCCAGTTCCCCAATGTTCTTTTTGTGAATTGGAGCCGAAAACTTAACTGCATATTCCAGATGAGGTCTAACTAATGATTTGTACCGGGGGGGGGGGGGGGGGGGGGTGATCTCTCTCTCTCTGGAGTCTATACCTCTTAATACAAGAGAGGATTTTGCTCGCTTTAGAACCTGCAGCTTGGCATTGCTGCCATTATTAAGCTTGTGATCTACCAGAACCCCCAGATCCTTCACCATTGACCCCCCAAGTCCTTCTCCACCATTGACCCCCCAGATGTACCCCCCCTAGTATGTATGATGCATATTCTTAGCCCCCAAGTGCAGGACCTTACATTTATCAACATTAAACCTCATTGGCCCCATAGTCCCCCAATTACACAGAACATTGAGGTCGGCTTGTAAGTTGGAGACATCCTGTGAGGACGTTATTCCCCGGCACAGCTTGGTGTCATCTGCAAAGACTGAGATCCCCGACCCCATAACGTATATAAATATATTAAAAAGTAAGTGTCCCAACACTGAGCCTTGGGGTACCCCACTAATAACACTGAGCCTTGGGGTACCCCACTAATAACACTGAGCCTTGGGGTACCCCACTAATAACACTGAGCCTTGGGGTACCCCACTGACACGGAGCCTTGAGGTACCCCACTAATGGCACTGAGCCTTGGGATACCCCACTGACACCCCTAGACCATTCAGAGTATAAAATCATTAACCACCACTCTCTGAATACGATCTTTTAGCCAGTTTTCTATCCATTTACATCGGATTATTCCAGCCCGTAGACGTTACCTTACACATTAGCCGTGTGTGGGGAACTGTGTCAAACGCTTTTTGCAAAATCCAAGTATACCACGCCCACCGCCACCCCTCTGTCCAAGTATACCACGCCCACCGCCACCCCTCTGTCCAAGTATACCACGCCCACCGCCACCCCTCTGTCCAAGTATACCACGCCCACCGCCACCCCTCTGTCCAAGTATACCACGCCCACCGCCACCCCTCTGTCCAAGTATACCACGCCCACCGCCACCCCTCTGTCCAAGTATACCACGTCCACCGCCACCCCTCTGTCCAAGTATACCACGCTTACGCCCCCCTCTGTCCAAGTATACCACGCTTACTGCCCCCCTCTGTCCAAGCATACCACGCCCCCCCCTCTGTCCAAGCACACCACGCCCACCCCTCTGTCCAAGCACACCACGCCCACCCCTCTGTCCAAGCACACCACGCCCACCCCTCTGTCCAAGCACACCACGCCCACCCCTCTGTCCAAGCACACCACGCCCACCCCTCTGTCCAAGCACACCACGCCCACCCCTCTGTCCAAGCACACCACGCCCACCCCTCTGTCCAAGCACACCACGCCCACCCCTCTGTCCAAGCACACCACGCCCACCCCTCTGTCCAAGCACACCACGCCCACCCCTCTGTCCAAGCACACCACGCCCACCCTCTGTCCAAGCACACCACGCCCACCCCTCTGTCCAAGCACACCACGCCCACCCCTCTGTCCAAGCACACCACGCCCACCCCCTCTGTCCAAGCACACCACGCCCACCCCTCTGTCCAAGCATACCACGCCCACCCCTCTGTCCAAGCATACCACGCCCACCCCTCTGTCCAAGCATACCAAGCCCACCGCCACCCCTCTGTCCAAGTATACCACGCCCACCGCCACCCCATTGTCCAAGTATACCACGCCCACCGCCACCCCTCTGTGGGGTGGCTGTGGACAGTGAGACACAATAGCCAGTTATGGGCAGGCCAAAGCTGGACATCACAGGAGGGTCCCGATATTTAGGGAAAGTACCATTCAGGAACCATAAAGGTGAACCAATTAAGTGTTTCTTCCTCGCTTCCTGTTCCTGTGACACCCATTCAAAGAATAGGACAGCAGTTGTCACCAGGCCAGGAACACACAGACAGTCATAACATTGTCACTCTACTAAAATGTTTTTCTGTCTGTGTCCCCACCGGAGATGGGGAATGATATCCTGCCCGGACGAGAAGTGAGAAGAAATCCCAAAGACAAAAAGGTTGATGAAAGGAGGTTTCCTGGCTGCTGCACACCTCCCCCCAGCCACGTAGTAGACTGATGAAAGCAGTTCAGTCCATCAAGGCCTCGCACCAACGTGTTTCGTCCTGCCCCAGGGCAAAACACGGAGTTTGGCCTTGGACTGAGCAGAGGATTTTTTTTTTACAGGCAGTGACTCACAGTTTCAGCGACATCCATCCCAGAGGACATCGACAGCCTGAGCGGGGATCCCCAAGGAATAATATAAGATCATAAGAGACAAAGGCTGAAGAAAGGAGATTTCCTGGCTGCCGCACACCTTACCTGGCCATGTAGTAGACAGGTAAAAGGAGCCTCAGCTCAGTCCAACACCCTGCCCCAATGTGTTCCGTCCTGCCCCAGGGCGAAACGCGTTGTATTTGGGCTTGGACTGAGCAGAGGCTTTTTACCTGTCTTCTACGTGGCCAGGTGAAGTGTGTGGGGGCCAAAACACATTGGGACAAGGCCTTAATGGATTGAGTTGCTTTTACCTGTCTACTACATGGCCAGGTGAGGTGCACAGCAGCAGGGAAACTTCTTTTCATCTTCCTTGTATGCTCCGGGTTTGAACAAATCCATCCCCAGCCACCACTCTCACTGTTTCCACGGCATCCATCCCACAGGACATCAACAGCTTGAGCGGGGATCCCCAAGGAATAATCTAAGATCATCAAGAGACAAAGGCTGCCGCAAACCTCACCCGGCCATGTAGTAGCCAGGTAAAATGAGCCTCAGCTCAGACCATCAACACCCTGCCCCAATGTGTTTCGTCCTGCACCAGGACGAAACGCGTAGGAGTTTGGCCTTGGACTGAGCAGAGGCTGTTTTTACCAGTATCCTACACAGCTGGGTAAAGTGTGCGTGGGCCAAAACGCATTGGGACGTGGCAATGATGGACTGAGCTGCTTTTAACTTCTACTACAAGGCCAGGTGAGGTGCATAGCAGCAGAGGAACAACCTTTCATCTTCCTTGTATGCTCCAGGTTTGGATAAACCCATCCCGAGCCAGCACTCTCACTGTTACCGTGGCATCCATCCCACAGTACATCAACAGCCTGAGCGGGGATCCCCAAGGAATACTATAGGGTCATCAGAGACAAAAGGATGCAAAAAAAAAAAAAAAAAAAAAAAGTCCACAGGCTCCACCTCCTCTCTGCCCTATCAAAACAGAAATAAAACATTTTGTGTGGAGCCGGGATTTACACCTGACAGGTTCTCTTCTTTTTTTTTTTTCTTTAAACTCCTGCACAGGCCTGGATATACTCTCCATGGAGGGCCCATCACAACCTGCAGATGTCCCCTGCTATGGCAATACAAGGTCATCCGGCTTACTGCTCCACCCTCTCACACAGAGGCCCCCAGGGGCCCCTCCATGGTTGGCTTCCCAGAACCGTATGCTGTTCCTGTTTTCCATCGGCACCTGTCCAGGGCAGTGCACGGGGGGGGCTGCCTTTCATCGTTGCGGGGAAACGAGAAGAACGACCTCTGCTCTAACACACAACTCACACAGCCGCCTAATCTGATTACCGGATTACACGTTAATCAGATGCCAGTTTAACTCACCTGCTCAGTATTAGCAGCCAGAAACAACTGTTTGTTCCAATTAATCCGGCTAATTTACAGCCCCCAGCGACCCGCAGGAGGCGGCAGCAGCAGCTGCATAACACGGGAGCGGCTCCAGTCTCCTGCAGCACGTCGTGTGACCTGAGGGAATGGGGCCCCCGTCAGTCAATCCCGGAGGGGGGCACCTTCTCTGCTGCAACACCCCATCAAGGAATTACATGTAGGAGAACGTTGCAGGGTACATTGGGGGAAAAGCAACTCCGAAAGCATCCGATTAGACCTGAAATCCAGCCAATGGAGACTCGGAAATGACTCCCAAAGGAGTTGGGAGTCTGTATTGCTCAGCTGGGATCGCAGCAATTCTGCGGGTTTATCTTCATGTCACACAACCTTCACTGCAACCAATGCAAAGCCAGACTGAGACTCATCGCTGGGCCCTCCACTGGCCCTTCCAAGGACCTTCATGGCCCCCCAATAGAGAACAAACATGTCAGAGGAGTGGGGGAGGGGCTGGCGGGGAGCGATGGGCAAAGTCTGGCTTGGGGAGCTTCCACTGGTTGCAATAAAAGTTGTTGGATATGGACGGATGGATTGGGGGACCCCATCTTTGCTCGGTACGTTGGACAGAGTAGGGGACCCCGGCATTGCTCGGTACGCTGGACAGAGTAGGGGACCCCGGCATTGCTGTGTACACTGGACAGTAGGTGCCCCCACATTGCTGGGTACACTGGACGGAGTAGGTGCCCCCCACATTGCTGGGTACACTGTACAGAGTAGGTGCCCCCCACATTGCTGGGTACACTGTACAGAGTAGGTGCCCCCCACATTGCTGGGTACACTGTACAGAGTAGGTGCCCCCCACATTGCTGGGTACACTGTACAGAGTAGGTGCCCCCCACATTGCTGGGTACACTGGACAGAGTAGGTGCCCCCCACATTGCTGGGTACACTGGACAGTAGGTGCCCCACATTGCTGGGTACACTGGACAGTAGGTGCCCCACATTGCTGTGTACACTGGACAGAGTAGGTGCCCCCCACATTGCTGGGTACACTGGACAGTAGGTGCCCCCACATTGCTGGGTACACTGGACAGTAGGTGCCCCACATTGCTGGGTACACTGGACAGTAGGTGCCCCCACATTGCTGGGTACACTGTACAGAGTAGGTGCCCCCCACATTGCTGGGTACACTGTACAGAGTAGGTGCCCCCCACATTGCTGGGTACACTGGACAGTAGGTGCCCCCACATTGCTGTGTACACTGGACAGTAGGTGCCCCCATTGCTGGGTACACTGTACAGAGTAGGTGCCCCCACATTGCTGTGTACACTGGACGGAATAGGTGCCCCCCACATTGCTGTGTACACTGGACGGAGTAGGTGCCCCCACATTGCTGTGTACACTGGACGGAGTAGGTGCCCCCCACATTGCTGGGTACACTGGACGGAGTAGGTGCCCCCACATTGCTGGGTACACTGGACGGAGTAGGTGCCCCCCCACATTGCTGTGTACACTGGACGGAGTAGGTGCCCCCACATTGCTGTGTACACTGGACGGAGTAGGTGCCCCCCACATTGCTGGGTACACTGGACGGAGTAGGTGCCCCCACATTGCTGGGTACACTGGACGGAGTAGGTGCCCCCCACATTGCTGGGTACACTGGATGGAATAGAGGTGCTTTCATCAGACAGACAATTCCCTCCGGTCTCTGTACTCTGTACAGGCAATACAAGGATTGGTCCTCCCACACCGACCTCAGCATACAAGAATACGACCAAACCTGAGCAATTCGGAAGTTGGCTCCGATGCCAACAATCTCCACATTGACCTCATACATGTCCAAATACAATCACCCGATTCTACCAATCATTATCAGAGGCGGGGCCAGGAATCTTGTAAAGATATTTCTTGTTCAATCATTGGCCTGTGTATGAAGAGTATACAAAGATCGGGAGACAAAACACTCCACACAGCAGTCAGAGAATACGAAGAAATCCACTTACAAGCTTCCTCTTCGGGGGAGACTCAGTTCCTTCTGGAAAAAAAAGACAACACAGAGTCAGTGTTCGCAGGTGAGAGAGCGGGGAGACACGTCACATGTTACATACAGATCTGTGGTGAGAGAGCGGGGAGACACGTCACATGATACATACAGATCTGTGGTGAGAGAGCGGGGAGACACGTCACATGTTACATACAGATCTGTGGAAGGAGCTCCACCATCCCTCCCTACACGACACAATTACCGATGTGACCAACAGATGGCGCCCTCCACAGCTCAGTCTGGACCAAAAGAGAAGAAAGAACGGCAAAACCCGAACTTAAGACCCAAATCCTGAGGATGGGAGGAGCTTAGTGTCCGAGCTGGGGCAGGCCCACCCGAGCCGAGCCCCCCACTGCACAGGCGGAACGTCTACCCACAAATACAAAACGCTCTGCAATTTAAAGTGCTGCTGCACACCCGAAATGGACATTTCATGTACAGGAACCCCAAACTCAGCACACGGATGGTGGGAACCCCTCACAACGGGCACAGCGGGAGGGTACAGACCGGGGGGGGGGGGGGGGGCACTGCACCCATAAGCAGTGTCAGTATACAGGCGGTATAAATGACCGATCAATGAACACAGGAATGTCCAACACAAAACTCATAAAATGCTGCAAATTTCCCACCCAACATATACAGCCATAAATATTCTACCCTGTCCATCCCATACCCCTCCCCCCACACATGTACACACACTCCCATACTCCCCCCCCCCCCCCCCACATGTACACACCTACCCCCCCCCCACACACGTACACAGACTCCTGTACCCCTCCCCCCACACACGTACACAGACTCCCGTACCCTTCCCCCCACACACGTACACAGACTCCCGTACCCCTCCCCCCCACACATGTACACAGACTCCCATACCCCTCCCCCCACACATGTACACAGACTCCCATACCCCTCCCCCCACACATACATGTACACAGACTCCCGTACCCCTCCCCCCCACACATGTACACAGACTCCCGTATCCCTCGCCCACACGTACACAGACTCCCATACTCCTTCCCCCACACATACATGTACACAGACTC